GGCGGGGCCTTTGTGTCCATGCTGCACGGTCTTGACCCGGAGGGACCGCAGAGCACGGCAGGCCCGAGCGCATCCCTCGGGAACGACCACCAGCCCCATCTCGAGGTCTCGCGCGGCGGCCGCTGACCGGCCTTGGGCTGCGGACGATGGGACGCTCTCGGCACAGAGGCTGCGGGGAACTCACCTGTTGAGGTCCAGCTGCTTGTACAGGGCCAGACTCTTGCCGAAGTACTTGCGCTGGGAGTTGAGCGCGTCCACCTGGGCGGCACAGGTGCCATGCTTCTCCCACTCGTGCCTCCTGCGGGTGAAATGTCCCGTCGGAAACTACAAAGCCAGGTCACCACCGAAGCGCTCTGTGTCCCCCAGCAGAGCGTCTGTGTGGAGCAGGGGGGCCCGCCTTATCGACCTTGTGGGCACCTAGCAAAACCTCTGCTTAAAAGACAACTGCACAAGCAGCCCGTCCCTCCGTGCTGGCCACGACCAGCCGTCCGCCTCACTCCACGTGGCAGGTGGCGTGACCGACAAGCCACAGGCGCAGGGGAGCAATGCCCTGAAGTCACACCGCAGGGGGCGCCCTCCGGGTGTGCTGGACCTGCGTCTCCCAGCAGCAGGCCGAGAAGAGGCACGCGACTGTGCTTGCTCAGAGGTGCCTCAGCCATGCCCTTCAACCTCTCGGGTTATTGGGGCTCCCCCGTCTGTCCTACCTAAAGGGCAGTCACAGACAAAAGAGCCTAAACCACGTCTCTGAATGAGCCGCAACCTGTACTCCGGAAGGAGGCTGGCAGTTCCTGAGACTATTTCAGACTGAAGTTCTTCATTTTCTTTTTTTAGAGAGATTGTTGCTATAGAGCATGTGTGCACACCAGAGAGAGAGCAAGCAAGAAATCACCCTTCGGGAGAATGACCGTGCTGTGACGATCGATGCTCCAAAAGCACTCAAGTATGATGTCCTTTATGTTTGCTTATTTATTACTAGGCATCACAAAGACATTAAAATTTTTTTTGGAGAGATTTTCCCTAAGGGCACGTGCGCTTGCCAGAAAGACAGAGACAGAAAGTGCACCCTGAGTGAGCTTTAAGGTGCTAGGTTCAGGACTCGAATCACGGTCAACTATGTGGGAGTCAGTGACATAGCCATTATGCCATCTGCTGGTCCCTCAGATTGAAGTTTTACAAAGGTTTCGTGTTTGCTTGGTCTCACAGCTCTGCAAGGTGAAGTTATTCTTGCTAGTTTAGAAATGGGGCAGGGTCAGGAGGTGGCACAGGGTTAAGGCGCTGGACTCCCGTGTGGCCAACTATGACTCAAGTCTCGAACCCGGAGGCTTGAAACTCACACCAGCACTTGAGTGTGTGCCCAAAATCCCAAAACGAGAATCAAGAAGAGAGTGACCACAGAGGGCACCAAAGGGTTGTTTCCAGAACAAAGGCTGTTGGGGTTCTCGACCTCAGAGGGTGGGCTCCATCTTGTTTGCCAGACTTCCCACAGAGCCCTCAAAGGCACTCACGAAGCCACCGAGCCGGGACTGCAGGCTCACGGAGGGCGTGGGCGGCCAGACTTACCAGAAGCGGCTGCGGTTAGGAGACGAGTGGATGATGTCAGGCCAGTACGCCTTCATCTCCGGCAGGAGGTCCTAAGTGTGATTAAGAAAAAAGGTCCATGCAGGACCTAGGGAGCCCCACACCTAGAAGGCACCTTTGGTAAACGGATACATATTCAAAGACTTGAGCTCTGCTGATTCGTGACCTTTCGGTGAGAAAATGAATTACCATGAAGGGTTCCTTAAGGTAATACCTAGACGTGAGACCCAGGTAGTCTGGTGATCTCGCCGGGGGTGGGTAACCCACCTGGCACGCCAGACGGCGCGGCCGCTCAGCCCGGGCAGAGCGGGCCACCGGGCCATGAGTCTGAGCATTAACCAGCGCGGGAAGCCCACCTGAGCAGGCTGCGTGCTGCAGGCTCCGCTCCGGCTCCGGGGTGGCCCGGAACTGCGCTGGAGGGCAGCAGTGCTGTCAGAGGCTGCCTGGAGCTTGGGAGAAAGAAAGGGGGAACCCGGCGGAGCACGAGGGATCCACGGGGTGGTGAAATGACTCAGCAGGACCGTAAAGGGGACGCTGTGCCTTGTCAAGACCCGTGAACTGGGCCATGCGGAGGAAATGACCATGGGAAATGACCGGTAAGTTTACTCGGCCACAGGGAACCGGAAGGGCTCACCAGCTGCAAGGGGCGTAACACCCTAATGGTGGCGCTGCTGATCAGAGCGGCCCTTTGTGCCCAGTGTTTCTGTAACCTTAAACCGCTCTAAAAAGAGCACAGTGGGGTGAAGACTCGAACATTTCCGAGAAGAGCTAGTCCAGGCTGGGCGGCGGGGAGGCACAGGCAGCTCCCCCAGCCCCCCTGCACTGAGTCCTGCCAGCTCGAGTCTGCTTCCCCACACGCCCGACCATAGCAGCCAGGGGACAGCCAGCACACAGGTACAGGGACACCCAGTGCCCCGGCTCTCCAGCGCCCCTCCACTTGTTCCCATTCCAGTGGTCCTCCCGCCCCGGCTCCCATGTGCCTGTACCCCACAACCTGTTTCATCCCATCAGCCCTCTGGGGATGCTCTAGGGTGATAATACAGCCTGCTGCCCAAACTAGGCCCCTTCTGTTGAGAACAAGGGCTGAGTGGGACATCACACCACACGAGGGAAGAACTGGGCCTGCTCCGGACAGCCAAGGTTCGTGATGGCACCTGCTGTGACCTCCAGTCCTTAACCCAGACAGTATTCTGGCCTTCCACGCATGGATCCAAGCCCATCAGTGCTTCTCGTCCCCCCGCTCCTGCTGGGCCTCCTCCCACTGGCAAGCTCTTCTAAGCCGCCTTTTAAACGCCGGGCTCCTCCAGGCCTGCCCGGCCCATCTCGCCCATCTCCCCATGCCCACTCCTGTGGCTCTGACTCGCCGTCCATATGTTGGTCACACCTAAAGGCCCACTCTGTGCTGACTACCAAGCCTGCTCCACCCCCCTGCTGTTCCCGCAACACTCTCAATCACACCTCCTCCAAACCCGACTGCAAGCCAGGTCCCCGTGGCTGGGAAGGACACCGACACCCAGCTCGTTAACAAGCCGAAGTCCAGGGTCCTGCCTGACGTGCCCTCCACACACCCACAGCCAGTCTGTGTGAGCCTGAGTTGTGGAGCGTGGCCAATCTGAAAGCGTGATTAAAGCATGTGGCCTGTACACATGTGCCACATGTCCCCCTTCTCCCAGGCCACGCTTTGATCACGTTTTCAGGGTGACAGCTCTCCACACTGAGTGCTGCCTTGGGGACGCCCCATCTCCCGGTCCACATCCACGGCCTCTGTCTGCCAAGCTCCTCCGTGGGCAGGGCCTGCAGGGCCTTCCTGCTCCTCTCCCCACCCCAACCCTCACACGCCTGCTCTAGCTCACGTCCCACTCCATCACTCATGCAGCCTGCTCCCCGTCTCCCAGGGACGCCCTGGGTACGTGTCCACAGCCACCACAGCCTACGACCTACGTCCCCCCCGAGCGAGCCGACTCCTGCTGGCCGCCCG